CACCACTTTACTAAGCCAGCATAATCCATAAGTATATTCTAAATATTTGTCCTCATACCCACAGGTAAGTGTAATCCCATTTTTCATCAAAGAAACTTCTCTATCTCCATCCATCACCAGATGAAGGTTCTATGGTGATATGAAAGATATTCGTCAGTAATGCTATAGAATAGGGTCAGTTCAGGTTCCCTATCCTCAGTTTCCCAAGTGACTAACTGGGGACATCGCCTTGGGCTCCTGGGAGCCACTCTAGGTTCTAGTCTCTTGCCAACACTAAGGTGGCTCTTTTAACTAAGATATGTGCTTCCCTGCTCCCCTATCCAACCTTCCTTTATCCCAATCTTCCTGTTTCCTCAAGTTCCCCCAATCCTCCCCTTCTTACTTTTCTCTCCCTGTCCCCCCTTATCCCCAACCCACCCCACCCCCAAGATCCCAATTTTGTCCCCAGCAATTTTATCTACTTCCCTTAGCCAAGAGGATAACTATATGCTTTTTCTTGGGTTCACCTTCTCGGACTTTCCACAGGACAGGGAACCATGACTGCTCTTTGGATAGGAGAGGGAGGGGGAGGGGAGTAGGGGGGGGGGGGGGGGGGGGGGGGGGGGGGGGGGGGGGGGGGGGGGGGGGGGGGGGGGGGGGGGGGGGGGGGGGGGGGGGGGGGGGGAGGGGGGGGGGAGGGGGAGGGAAATGGGAGGCTGGGAGGAGGCGGAAACTTTTTTTTCTTATTCTCAATAAAAAAAAAAAGAAAAAAAAAAGAAGAAACCCTTTGCAATAGATGGAGTCCATTACAGAAAACCACAGCCAATCAAAATGCAGAGCTGTGGAGTCCAGTCCCACTGGATGCGTAACAATACGACTCCTGCACCTTTCACAAGAAGGGGCGGGAAGAATGTAAGAGCCAGAGCATCAGGGAGTTGGTTGTGAGGCTGTGTGATGTCAGAAGCTGTGCCCAGTAAGTCTCACCAACTCGACTGCTTAAACATGAGCTGAACAAACATGCATATGTGGACAGAGGAAAGACCTCAGGGCCTCAACCCTCACAAAGAGCTCAGGATACTGGGAGCAGAATTAGTCTTCCCAAGGGGGGAGCACACCAATTAGTTATCCAATACCAAATGGTCAGGCTTGCAAACAGACTTACACGTAACATTATACAGATTGAGCAGGTTATAGTTAGGAGTGTATATGTATACATACATACACATATATGCGTAAAATGACAATCAATGATAAAAGAGACCATGAATTTGTCTGAGAGCAAGGAAGGGTATATGGGAAGGTTTGTGGGGAGGAACAGGAAGGAGGAAATAATGAAACAATATTATATTATGATCTCAAAATAAAAAATAACTGAAAACACTATTCCAGGTAAAACAGAGGAAGGTAAAACTGAACTTCATGTTGATGTTTGAACAATCTCAAATATGAATTAAAGTCTATGCAGAATGATGGGAACTAGAATGTAAAGAAATGCTACATACAACTCACTGAACTTGATGAAACATATAGAATGAAAGTTACGAAGTTCCAGGACCTTAATAAATTTCAGCATGGACTGGCTAGTGAGGGTGTCTGATGTATGCATGTGTGCATATATGTGTCTGTGATGTATATATGATGTGAATGTTTATTATATGTGTTGTGTGCATGATTTGTGCACGTACATGTATGAGTGTACAATTGTATGTGTGCGTGTGTGTCTAAGTATAAGTATGGCGTGACTGTCAGAGAACATCCGCAGGTGCGGGTCCTCTCCTGCCTTGTTTCAGGCAGGGTCTCTGTGGCTCCAGCACTGCAACTGAAGGACCTGCTGGCTCCCAAGGATTCCAAGGAATCTGTTTCTATGTCCTGTTTTATCACAAAAGCAGTGAGGTGACAGATGCGGCTTCCGAGGACACACATGAAGGTCCCACAATTGTACAGCACAGACTTTGCCCATATAACCCCCCTCACTCCAATTTCCAGAGCCTTTACATTTTCTGGGAACGACCTAGGAACATATATAACATGACACGGGAATAGTCATACAATGTGGCTTGTGCGTATTAGCAATTGTCTCAGAAAAAAAGATGCAGACACAAATTAGGGGTTTACACGAAAGAACTGAACATTTTTATTCTGGAGAAATTAGGCTTCAGTTTGTAGGCGTGAGATTTCAGCTTGACGTTTGTTTTTGTTTTCAGCTCAGGCCTTGATTTGAGTTATTCTGTGATCTAGAAATACAGATCTACGGATTTATTAGGGAGGCTAAATGACAGTGCAGCAGGGCCAGTAGAGACCTAGCAATGACAATGTAAACGAAAATAACAAATGAGTGAAATTAATATGTGTGGGTCAAATTGCCCAAGGCTAGGAAGGGAAACCGGAGCACCAAGGATGACTCTGAAATAGGCGGTATGTCAGCAATCCCAGACTTGGTATGCGTGAGGGACCCAGGCATACAGTGGCATAGGCCCGGTCAGGTGGTACCACAAGATCTGCTGGTTTGGTCATGGGAGATGCCTCTCCTCTACAGACAGTTTCGAAGTCACGTATAGAGGTCAAGATCAAGACAATGTATTCTTGTCTTTGACAAGGTGTTCAAAGCAGAGACGACACAGAAATGGGGTACTCGCTCTGATGTCCTTACTTCAATTAGGTATACTAATTCTTAGTTTTCTGGAGAACAGAAAAGAACAGCTCTATGCAGTTTGATTTTCATCCCCAGTAGGAAAACTGCAGCTAGAACACTGTTTTCTCTCCTTAATGACTAGTTCTTCTGAGTCCTGTTAGATTTTTCAAGAGACTCACACTTCCTCCTACCAACTCCTGAGACATTATCAATTAACCACATACAGCCCATCGAACACAGCAGAGCTGTAATTAAACCAAATTGCCATGTAGTAGCTTTCATTACACAACGACACAGTTTTTGTTAGGACCATAGAGAGAGTTTAATTACACGTCTAGACACCCCCTGAAGTCAGAGTGGTGGTGCTGTCTTTGAATCGTTAAAGGGGAGCTTGAGCTTTGGATGACTGCAGTTTTAAGAGATCCGTGATAAGGTATATTTAGGGGATCTATCCGTATCTCTTTAAATTCCACATTCTGCTTTGATGCATACTTAGTCTGGGAATTGCTTGTGTATCTGTGAATAAAATGGGGTTAGAAGAGAAATGTACAAATTTCCACTTCTCGTATGCGGTTTCCCTTTCATTTGCAGCCAAATAGCGTTATCTTTGATGGATTCCAAGGTCGCCTCCTCCTTTGACTTTCCTTTTTCTTGTGTGTCCTAATGCACTCATGCACATGTATGCTTGTGTTACGTGTTTGAAGGTCAAAGGGAAAATCTCTGATCTCAGCGCCATCGTTGATTTGGCTCGAGAGGTCTCTTGTTCATCTTGCCTGCTCCAGGCTACCTGGCCAGGCTTCCCAGAATTCTCCTATCTACCTTCCATCTTGCCAGAGGAGCAGTTGGATTATAGACATCCACGGTGCCAAGCTTTCTGTGACGTCTGAGGATCCTAACTCGGCTCCTCACACTTGTGTGGGAGCTCTTTACCTACCTATAGTACCATTCCCCAGCCTCACTCTCTTCAGCAGAGAAGCCATGCGCTGTTGTGTAGACACCATCGTCTCAATACCAGTCCTTAACCTTTGAGCAGAAACTGCCTGTCCCCGAGACTGGCTTGTGCTCTCTCATTCCCAGCCCTGCCCTGTGTCTCTCGGATCCCAAGAATGTACAGATCTTTTCTCTGTGGCCACTCTGGACTTTGTCTTTCTCATACGAAAACTGGCTTGCTGTTTATTTCTTTGTAACTGAAGACCATTTTTTTTTTTTGCGCCTTGTCTCACGCTATGTATTATTTTCCAATACAACATCTAATTACCCAAACATTTCTATAGCCTCAAGCCTGAAATCTCTTGTCTCAGACCTGGCATCGTACAGTGAAAATGAGAAAATGAACTGATCACACATGCGTCCTTTTTCAAATATCCTCAGCGTCCCCCAGGGAAGCTGCCCTCCCAGCAGGCACTCGCTCTAATCCTACATGCAAATGAGTTTTGAATGCTGTTCATTTGTTGCTGTCATGTGCCCTACTTCATTTTTCTATACAGGCTTATATTCTGTCAACGTGAGGTTTGTGTCTTTACAGCTGGGCCAGCTTACCATTGCTTTCTTGTATGACAGTTATTTAAAGTGGTAACGATCCATTTAATGATCCCCGTCAAAAGAAACGTGTTTCATTAAAAATTTTAACTCAGTGAACGTTTTTAGGTTTTTGAGTTGAATTTAGGGAAAAATGGTGTAAATAAAACCAGTGTTATGGCCTTGACTTTTAGACATAGAATTACTAAAGTGTTATGACACATGCGTTTGAACATATTAGAGAGAGAATGCCTACCCGTGTTCATCCACTCAGGTAAGACTCGTTCCACAGCCAGACTGAGAATTAGAGTCTGAGTGTGCCTCTTCTCTTGTGGGCCGCTCTAGCCAGACACCCCGGATTTCCCTAGCCAGCAGCATCCAGAACTCTCTTCTCTGCCAGCAACCCGTTTCCAAAGAGAATAGATGACAGCTTCTTGTGCTCTGTTGGAGAATAGTTTGAGGGGAACAAATTGGGGTAATGACTTGAAGAAATTGAACCGTTTGGGAAATATTTTGGAATTAAAATTGACAGAACTTAGTTATGAATTTGATAGAAGCAGCTGTGAGAGGCTCAGTCTCTGAGTTCTCTGAGGGCCTCCCTCTTATTAGGAAAACCCTCTACCACTCATGCCCACCCAGCGCTCATGCGCGCCCGTTGCTCATGGCTCTTCATTAAGCTGTATTCTTAAGCCTTGTTTTCTTTGTGATATATATTTTAAAAATCCTAATATGTGTGGTTGAGCCATAAGATTATGGTAGATCTGAAAGCATCGGAAAGAGATATCGGGACCACAAATAAAATTACACAACTGTAATTTTAACTTATTTTAACTTAATTCATGTAATTAACTTCATTATTTTTCCTGTGTAGTACCTGCATGAAAATGGGATTGTCCATCGTGATCTCAAACCAGAGAATCTTCTCTATGCAACTCCTGCCCCAGATGCACCTCTCAAAATTGGTAAGAAAGTTTTCAAATCTCTCAGAGCAGAAGGGGTTTGTTCCATGGGATTTTTAGTTGTGTTCTATCGGAGATTGCCTCTGTCTGGTTGCCTCCAACACTTGGCCTCTGTGAGTGATAATAGCATGTCGTTTGTTAGTCCATGTATTTTTCTAGACTGTTCACCTGATGCTGTGTTCCAGACTTCCCTGGATCATTGCTGGGCTCTCAAATGAGCCCCAGTCTGGGTGCTTAGTGATTATGAGGATCTCAAAAGATAACCTTGGGTTTTGTAGAAAAATTTATAGTGAAAAGTTGACTTGTGTTTTTCTTAGCTTTGAATTGACAAATTATTTGGAGCTTAATCTTATATAATGAAGAACTTTAAAATACCTAGTATAAATTAGTAAATGTAGACTATGAATCTCTTGTTCATATTAGAAAACTCAAAGACCATATTTCCAAATTGTTCTCCCCAGAATGCTATTTTCTAATCGATGATAACTCCCTTGTATGTCTGAGTGTTTGTGGAGGACATGGTTTTACAAAGGGTCTGTGCTTGGTCAAATAAGTTAGAAAATGGCAAATGTAATAATTTTTTCTGCATTGCCTTATAAAACCTTCAAAGTGCCAACATGTAGACCAACATATCATGATCTACACTATAAGACTTCCTCAAACAATTGACTCTAGAAATCCACCCCATATAGCATCCAGAAAAACCATAAAGATAAAATTTGGGCAATTCTCATCTACCCATTGAAATTATCCTATTAGGAGAAAATACATTTTATTTCCCATATCTTGATAAAGCAAATTTTCATTTCCAAAGACAGATGTGAGGAAGAATCTGTATCAAAGCCCCCTGAGGTTGCTAGGCTTCCTCGCTTCTCCATCAGAGCTAAGCTGATGTGTTCCTAACCCAGACCCAGAAAGACAAATGTTGTATGTACTCACTCATAAGTGACTTTTAGACGTAAAGCAAAGAAAAACCAGCTCACAGCTCACAACCCCACAGAACCCAGACAACAAAGAGGACCCTAAGAGAGACATATACATGGATCGAATCTACATGGGAAGTAGAGAAAGACAAGATCTCCTGAGTAAATTAGGAGCATGGGGACCAAGGTAAGAGAGTAGAAGGGGAGGGAAGAGGCAAGGAGGGGAGCAGAGAAAAATGTATAGCTCAACAAAAACAATAAAACACAACCAATGTTAATGCCTCTGAAAATTAAGTTGCTCTACCAGAGAGCCATTCTGAAAAGCCTGCTGGGCAGCCAGCTCACTCTGTTAATCACTCCTGAAAGACAGTGGACAGCAGGGGTTTCCTTCCTTTGACGTGACTTTCAAAGATTTGATCCTTAAAGAAATCTCTTTAGATGGATGGATAGATGCTAATTTGAGCAGGAAAGCCTTGCTTTCTGTTGGGCTGCCTGTTGTGTTCAGTGATGCGGTCAAGCACCTCGTGGAAACATGGGCATATCTTTGAAGTCTAAAATGGTATCCGTTCTGCACCTGCCTCCCTTGAAGAATGGCCTCGAGCAGCCTTCTGACATGCTTGAAAGAGAGGTCACTCAGCAATAGGTCATAACTGTAGCAAGTTGGATAATATTTTACTTAGGCAATATACAGAGGAATAAATAGAAAAAATTTAGACTGCCCCCAAAAGGCTTCACTTGTTATATGAGCATAAATTGTTAGCTGTTAAACATTGGCAACTGATATTATTTGTTTTCAATCAGAATAAGCTTTTGACATTTCTATTTATTTCCATGGCATCTGTGGAAATCTGTATTTTATTTCACCAGTGAGTTAAAGACTCGGGATTGTGTCACGAAGCCTGTACTCTCTCTGGGAGTTACTGTCACATGAACTCGGAATTCTTACAAGCACCACAGTTACTGTTCTGAAGAAAAATTCTTTACATGTTAACGTTTTTGAAATTTAAAGAAAAATCAAGCATTATAAATTATTTGTAAATGTATTGGCGTCATGTTTTTCCATGTTAAAGGGATGATTGAGTGACTATTTATTTTAGCTTCAGAAAATCGTCTTGTTTCCACCCAGATCCTCCTACCATCAGATCAGAAGTAAACAAATACATTAGTTTTGTTTTTGAAAAGCAGAAGCACTTATAAAAGCTGAGAAAAGTTTTGGCATGCTAAATTCTTCTCTTGTGTTTCTAGCTGATTTTGGACTTTCTAAAATTGTGGAACACCAAGTGCTCATGAAGACAGTGTGTGGAACCCCGGGGTACTGCGGTATGCTCTTTAACGTTGACATTTTACCTCTATTGAAATCTATTTTTACCTAATGACCTGATTTTACTTGAACTCCCAATGTCTCTATTTCTTGATAGTTTCACGTGGTAATTAAGTGGCTGGGCCTCGGTCACGGCATGACTAAAGGGGTATATAAATGACACTTGGGCCACCCTTTGTCTTTCCTGCGGGACTTGGGAATGTGGAATGTAGGACACCTGTGTCTGAGTACCTGTCGGGCCACAGCTACTCTGGGAGACTTCTGTGCAGGACAGACAGCCAGTAGGGAGCAGGGCAACAGTAGGGTGTTTGGTCGCAATTGAAGCCACTGGCCCTTCCTGACTTTCTTTGCTTTTCGTTAGGAGGGTGTGTGAGGAGAATGGATGCTTTCATTTAGAGGGCACACAATGAGAACGGGGCAGCTGCTGTTGTTCCCAGAGCTCATAGGCAAAATAGCCTGGGCTCTGGCTCTGGGTATTCAGCAATGACAAGAGAAAATGACATAAAATATATAAAATGGAAAAATAGATTTATTGCTAAGCTTCTCTAAAACTGAGAAAAGCATTCCTTCACAGTCTGTTTCTGCACCCCATAGCAGTTTTACAGGTATAGAAGGGACACCAGAGATAGGGACTAGGCATAGGTAGAATCCAGCTGTGGATTCCAGCAGTCAGGCGGAGTGACATCTTCCTCCTGACAGTGACTAGGGCTTGAAGACAGATACTGATCCTGACCTTAGCATGATACAATGTTTCTCTTAGGGAACTGCAACTGAAAAAGACATTATAAGAAAACCCATATTTGAAGTTTATGGCGTACATTACTTAGGTTATCTATGTAACTGTCTAGCTGTGTTTCCCAAGAAAGGTCTTCCAGCCACCCTTGAAGTCGAGGATACTAATGCCCCTCCCTCCCAGTGCCTCCTAGCCCAGGACTAGTGGAAGGCACCCTGTGTAAACTCCTCGGTTCACAGATAAATACAAAGCCTTTGACTAATACTAACATAAACTACTGTCCTTTTTATCACTAAATTAAAGATAGCAATACCCTAACCAGAAATAAAATAGCTTGCAGACATTACCATGTGTTCCTAAAGTTGGTGATCAACAAACAGGCAACAAATCAATGAAAATTTTGACTCTAGGAAGAGACCTACAGCTTCAAATCATCACTTCAGAGTCTCCTCCTGGTATTAGAATCTCTTCAGATACTGTGCCTTTTGCTCACCTCTTCAGTAAGCACATATTAATTTCCTGCTGTATACATAGGCCACTGCCTCACACAGGAACAATGTATTGCATACTCTCTCCAAAGGAGAGCCTCACAGGCCATAGAGGAGCAGGCTCATAGGCCCAGAAGTCATAGTGCCTAAGGAACTCTGTGCCCATATCTTATAGATGTGTACAAAAGCCACTATGAAAACAGAAAGGGGGAAGTGTTTGGAGGTACTGGAAATTTTCTTCTATGGCATCTGTATTTATAGATAAACAGAGAACTACATAATTGACTCATTCTAATAATCTTTAATACACAGAGATGAGATTGGGAAAAATATAATAAAGTATTCTTTGAAACGAATGTATGATGAAATGCCCAGAATTTGAGTTCTGGATAATGCTAACATTAATTTTTTTAACATTCTAATTTTACAAAGGACCAAAAAAAGTATCTTTCCCCAAGATAACACATTTCATTGTTAGTGGACTCAGGCATAAGAATTCATGTATTTCGGCCGGGCAGTGGTGGCACACGCCTTTAATCCCAGCACTTGAAAGGCAGAGGCAGGCGGATCTCTGTGAGTTCGAGACCAGCCTGGTCTACAAGTGCTAGTTCCAGGACAGGCCCCAAAACCACAGAGAAACCCTGTCTCGAAAAAACAAAAAACAAAAAAAAAAAAAAAAAAAAAAAAAAAAAAAAGAATTCATGTCTTTCAAAGCCAAAATATATTGGCTGTCTCCTTTAAAAATCAATACAGATAAATCAATATATTATTTCTTTTATTATGCAATGACTTGGTTTACATTATCTTTTTTTTCTTTGTTTTTGTCTTGAGATAAGGTCTTGTTCTATAGAGTAGGCTGATCTCCCAACTCACTGTGTAGTTCACGTTAGCCTCAAACTTGTGGTGAATCTCCTGTTTCATCCACACAGAGATTCCAGGTGAGTACCACCACACCTAATATAACTGTGTAAAACTTCAGATATACCACTGTGTCACTGTAGGAAGCAAAAGTCAAGATACACATTGTCAGGATTAATAATCTGCATATCCCTTATCTGTCCCCATGTTCATATACACATTTTATAATTTTAATTTTGGTAAAGTAGTTTTCCTGGTGGATTTAAAACAATTTCTTTACAATTTTATTTTTTCATAAATACAATAATAGCACAGAATTAGGTACTTATCTTACCATTAAATTTTACATTGTGCCAAGACTTCTTTTGTTGTTGTTGTTTTAAAGACAGGGTTTCTCTGTAACTTTGGAGCCTGTCCTGGAACTAGCTCCTGTAGACCAAGATGGCCTCAAACTCACAGAGACCCGCCTGCCTCTGCCTCCCGAGTGATGGGATTAAAGGCGTGCGCCACCACCGCCCAGCTGTGCTAAGTATTCTTGTTCTAGGTCATATGGCTTCTGAAACTGAGTAGCATGTTAGTCAATAGTAAGTTCAAAAAACTTAACGTAACTGTGGCCTCGCACCCGGAGTCACAGGGCACCTCCTGCTTGGCAGTGTCCCCTAGACATAACAGGAGGTAGACTTATGAAATCGCAGCAATATGGTTGTCTGAGTAAGACTGGTATAATGACAACACCAGTTGTCAAGCCAGCATGGACAGGGAAATTCTACACATCACTCCTGTGTGAGGGACTCCGGGTGTTCAATGGCTGCTGAGAGAGGGAGAACCACTTTCTTCCAAGGACAACATTCTGTGTGTCGTCTTATCCCAAGTGGTCAGTTCTGGACCCATGTATATATAAGCAATGCTAAAAATGGACTCGGTAGGTTTGATATACATGTTCTCAATAATAACCAAAGAAGAGCTCGTGGGCTTGTGAGGAGTGGTGTGGGCTGCAGGAGCGAGAAGGGGTGGGAGGGGAGTGATGGACGTGCAGTGCTCATGTATAAAGCTCACACAAAACCCTTTTTAAAAAAGTGCTGGCTATGGCTTCGACAAGGGAGAGGACGGCATTCTCATGCTCAGAGTCTAAAGATAAGCAATCCTGAGGGCTTCCACAGCTGTGACTGTGTGAAGGCTTCTGATCTCTGTTGGGGACTCAGACTTTGTCTCAGCCCACGTTGGCTGCTTGAAATCAGTCATCTCTGTGTTCTGTACACAAGGGGGAAAGAACAAAAGAAAAAAGGAACACAACAACATGAACAATGCACACCTTCTTATAGTCGAACAGACATGCTGAAATCACATGTCACTTATGTTTCCATCATATGGCTCATATGCACTCAGCTTCTATACTCTGAGATTCTGGCAATGTTCCCATTAGTGGGACATTACTGTCCTAAATTAACTGAGAGTTCTGTTGCTAAGTGATGTCATAAATTTTCAGATGCTGTAACAAAATATTTTAGATGGGGTTACTTGCAAACAATAGAAATTTATTTCTCTCCATTCTGAGAGTTCAGTAGTCTGGGATCAAGAAGCTGGCTTATTAGTTTTCTAGCAAGATTTTCCTGTTTTCTCTGAGATAATGCTGTCTATTTTGTCCTCACAGGGTGACAGTTGATAGTTTCTCTTGAGCCTCTTCTGTAGGCACTAATTCTACGAATTCTACACATGTAGGCTCCACCCTGAAGGTCTTATCAGTCAATTTTTTTTCTTTTCATTAGTAAGTCTTTCTATTGTTTGTATCTTATCAAATTTTCATATTTGGCGCAGTTATCAAACCATTTTAAGGATAAAATATGAATTACCAAACTGATAGTAGTTTAAATCCGTATCCTGCCAATCCCAGCTAAGTGGTTTATCTCCTCATTTATTTTTTTTTTCCATTTGCAAGCCGTCTATAGCAGAACTAAACCAGGTAGCACTAAACTCCCTGCATTATGATACTTCTGATTCTTAACATTGAAAAGATCCCCCCTTTTGAACCTAATTTCCCCTTTAAGGATTCCCAGGTGTCTCAGCAGATCTGCTGATGCTGGAGGCATTGGGATTAATCAACCGCAGTGAGGACCTGCGGCTGTGTTGGCAGGGAGGGCGAGCACAGCCGGGTGCCACTAGCCACACACCAGGCCAGGGGCCATGTGGCCGCTCGCATGCCCTGTGGGGAGGGGGTTGAGCCATCTGAACAACTAACTCAGGGAAACTGATAGGAGAAACTGCGTGGCTGGGACACAGCACCGGGGGGCAGGGACCTAGCCGCCTGCCCTGAGCACCAGAGGCTCTGCATGGCTTTGGCACGATTTAAGGCCATGTATTGGACACCAGATATTGGAGCTTCTTTTATTGTTTTATTAAAAAATAAAACTCAGGAGTTAAATATGGGAATAAACCTGAGAGAGCTGCAGAAGAGCAGAGAAAACAATCACCTGCTCTCTTCTCCACCTTCCTAAAAACAACAAAAACAAACCCATGCATCTCTCCTCGACACTCCTTATTCCTCCCGTGTGTCCCTGTAGCTTCCTCTGAGCCAATCAGAAAACTCTGTGGTCCACTCTGGCCAGCTCAGTATGGACTTCATCCTCTGAACCAAGGTCTGACTCTCTTGGCAGTTTCAGAGGGGCGACACAGACAAATCTCCTACAACACATTGGTTGGTGTAAAATACTAAGTATGGCCAGGAGATGAGTATGTCAAAACAATTCCCCAAGAACTGAACAACCACAGAAGACGACAATCAAAAATAAGGAAATGAGTGCTCTCTGTGAATTCTTTCTAAGACTACAAGCAAGCTATGTCCTCAGGGATGTAAGAACAGCCATGGGTATAGCACGATTAATAAACACCCAGAGATGGATATTGGGGTTCATTCTGAAGGTCA